TACAATATATTAAATAGTAAAACCGTCGCAAAATTTGAAAAATAAATAATAAAAATAATAATAATAATATTTTGCCATAAATGGAAAAATTCAAGATAACAACTTAAATGGAAACTCCTAAGATTCAGAATCGTCCTCCAACAAACAGAATACAAATCCAAATTTTATTGAATGAGATATTGCCAAAATAAAAATTACCATAAACAGCAAAAACGCTTAATCGAGGGCTTAAACGATGGAATTTGCCCAAAATTCAACGTGAATCAGGGCCAAAGACGCTGAGTTGTGATCATTGGCTCGTTTCCAATCAAATTAGACTAGCAATTTACCAAAAAGGGACAAACCCGAAGTTATCATGAAATCATTATTTTGTCTTGCGATCCCACTTCATCATAAATTCTACCTCCTTATGCACTTCATCATTTTTATTCATGCTCTATGTCTAATGGCATGCTCTTCACTTCGTGTTTATTTTTTAACACACAACACATTTCAAGAAATTGAATGTTCGTTGTTTTAACACAAAGTGCTCTTGGACCGGTCACCGCTATATTACAAGTATTGTTGATATTGGTTCAAATTTTGATGTTTCCATGTTCAATTGTCCTAGGCATAGTTCAAGGTTGTTACACAGATTGGAGCCTTGATCTTGTTAAGGGATAGAATATCATATCGGATAAAAATGTAAACATAAACCAATTTATAAAGGATTGCGTTACTCCTCTTAATAATGTTGATCTTTTAAGATGGAACCACAAATCTTAACATGGTATCAAAATCCATTAAGCTCCAATGAACAATTCGATCCGATTAAGATTCAAAAAAATTGAGCACACAGATTTCAAGATTGGTTTGCTCAAACGAGCTACCATCTCGTGGGGGCATGTTAAGAGATAAAATCTCAAAGCAAATAAAGATATAAATATAAACCAATTTATAAAGGATTAAGTTATTTCTCTTAATAAAGTTGATATTTTAAGATATGGAACCCTAAATCTTAACAGGTCTTCTTATAGCTAGAAATGTTCGCCATTTATAAGCTTTGTGAGTTTAAAGCGTCGTGCATCTATTGCTTATATTCTCCTATTAGATCCTTAACTTTTCCCATTGTAGGTTCTGACAATTGAAAAGCTGCCTAGGTTTCCCTGTCTTTGATTCTTGAAGGTGGAAGGATTCATGTAATGGAGAAGATAATAAAATGTTGGAAAAAATGAGATGATGGCTGACTTTGGCATAAATTTTGAGTGGGGTCTGTTTGCTTATTTTGGAAGATCAACATTGATTTGTCTTCTCCTCCGCGAGAACATCGAAATCATATATTTACTTATCAAAAATGAAGCTTGGGTGAAAGCGAAATTGGAGTTCAAAGTGGACCATTGGAATATGGTTTATGTTGGAGGGAAATTAAATTTGAGTTTATTCCACATAAGAAGTCTATGAAAGCAAGAACTACTTT